CTTGCAACGTTGTCTGAGACTTGCGCCAAGCTACATTGGCAAATGAGCTCAAGAGTTTTCGAAGACAGGCATTTTTTTGTAGCTATCTCTCTCTTGGTGTTCCTTGCACAATCATGGAGGTGCTGAACCAGTTGATCATATTCTTTGTCAATGTTATCAACTACGGCATCTTCCCATGTTGCTGCAACAGTGCCAAAGAGCTCCCAGTTGGTGGTCGTTCTGGGAGTTCTCTTCTTAAACTTTGCAGCCCTTTCTCCCCACTCTGTGAAGTAGAATTTTGCACAAAGGAGACGATGGGACAACATCGTTTGGGACATGTTTGGGACAACAGCGACATGGGTCAGGCAAAACCATCGATTGAATGTGATGTGGTCAATTTTGTTGCGGAACCATCCACCGGGAGACTTCCAGGTCCAACGTTTAGATGAACTGTGTGCCTTCTGGAACTGTGAGTTACCATAGATGATCTTGATGAACTCACATAGTTTCTCACCCTGTTCATTCCATTCTAAGCCGTGGGTCCCGATGTAGAGTTCTTCAGCTGATCTTCTTGGTGCTATCTTGGCATTAAAATCACCGACAATGATCTTGTAGAAGGTGTAGTCTTCTTTAGAGAACTTTTTCAGCTCCATGTAGAACTTTCAATTTCTTCTTCATCATAATTGGATGTTGGTGTGTAGACAACAAAGATAGAAACTGCCGACAGTGAGCCACATCTATTCAAGTGTAATCGTCCCATTCAGGTTATTAAGCATTCGAATGAATCAATGCTCATGGCCAAGTTCGTGTTGACAAGGACACTGACACCACCAACACCTCTTTTGTCGAATGTTCCGAGGAACAGTTCTTCTCCAGTGTCGAAAATGGTGTGATGTTATTGATGCCTTCTCATCTCGGTCAGACCAATGATGTCGTACTTGATCTTTTGCGCTTGCACCATCAGGTCCTCGATGGATGCATCTGATGCCAGCATACGTGCATTGAAAGTGCAGACAATCATTTTTGTCCTTTGTTTTGGGAGCCTCATTCAGCCTTGAGATTTTATCAGCTTCTCCTTCCTCATCCTTCTTAATGCTGCTGTATTGGTGGCTCTTTCAGGGTCAGGGGAATGAGACCCATTTTATTTGCTGGTTTTGGCATATCAAATACACCACCGATAACCTGCCATGATCTGCCGTGTGGGCGGGATATTCTTGGTAGCTTTCCAGGCTCTGTGAGAGGGATAGAGGCTTTTTGGCCGGCCTCTTATCACCCTTGCAGGTGTTCCCATGGTTCAAACCATGTTTGAAACCCATCAAATATGGTAGCTCTTCATTGACTTTTAAAATTAAATCTAGGGAGTTTTTTTTTTCTCTTTCTACTTTGCTAAACATGGTGGGTGTCATATTTTATCAAATGGCTTTTCTTCTTTACTTCCTAATTGGTCTAATTGATCATTTGATTTTTAGCCTCTTGATTACACTAATTGGTTTTTGGATATTGAACCAACCTTGAATACTTGGAATAAGGCCAACATAGTTGTGCTTGCTGATTCAATTTATGCAATGTTTGTTTGTTTGTTTCTTTTTTTCTTTCTGTCATTTTATTTTTAGCAGCTCTATTTCTTTTGTGTGTGTGTTTATTTTTATTTGGGGAAGGGCGGGAACACCTGGTGGTGCTCAGTGGTTACTCCTGACTCTGTGCTCAAGAATTACTCCTGGTAGTACTCAGAAGACCATATGGGATACCAAGGCTCAAACCCCAGTCGACTGTGCAAGGCAAGAGTCCTACCCTCTGCATCATCACTCTGACCCCATGGGATTCTAGTTCTTATTTTAAATAATATTTTCTATTTTTCTCCTTCTCAGGTCCATTTTTTCTTAAAAGTTGGTCCTATATATACAGTAATTGTAATAGCTCTAATTTGGAAGCATATTTGCAAAGGCTCTTGTTTTGTTTGGGTTTCATAACTATGGGCTTTGGGGCCTCTCCCAGATGTGTTTAGGGGAGCTGTGGTGACCCTGGTCAGACCTGAAGTCACCACGAAGCATCCCCAGTAGTGAGCAGGTCTGAACTCAGCAAATAATCAGCCCCAATAGGAATAGGTGCTGCTGCTGCACATAGCAGACCTGGGTTCAAACCTCGGCACCGCAACGGGTGCCCTGCGTCGGCCAGGAATGATTCTTGAGTGCAGAGCCGGGAGTCGGCCCTGAGCACTGCTAGGTGTGGCCCCTCAGTCCCCAGTGAAATAATGAGTGTACAGAATCCACGGCGTAGTCTCACAGTATTTTTGAACCTGAACCTGATAATGAAGAAACAGTCAGTTAAATCCAAATTGTGTGATAGTCTATAAAATGGATTTAAAAAAAAATGCTCTTATGAGGGATCCCCTTCCCACAAATTCCAGAAGTCCCCGAATATCCCGGGCTGGCGTGGCACTGGACTCCGGAGCAGCTGGGTTTCATCTGGGCACTGAAGTGGGGGAAAGGGCACGAGGCCCAGCGGCCCACTTTCATCTGGGGATTTCCTTCCTCGGCCTTTGGATCTGCCCCCAGCCAGCCCTCACCCCGTTCTTTTGTTTTCTCCTTTGAGGCCCCTTATCAGGCCTGAGCTGCCCACCAGGGCCCCCTGCCCTCTGAAATAGCCCGGGCTTCCTTTGGACTTTGAAGCTGGCCTTTAGGAAGCCAGGGCTGGGCAGTTGTTTTCCAGCTCGGTTATGTTTGTTTGTTTATGGGCTTTATTTAGAAATCCACAGAGTGGCCTCTGAGACTTGGGTTATTAACCCAATAGTTCCTTTTCTTCTGTAGGTCCCTATTTTCATATATTATTATGGCTCCTTATGAGAGTCAAAGAGAAATACATCATTTTAAAAACTCATGTGATTTTTTTTTCTTCCCCGTTGTTGTTGTTCTTGTTGTTGTTGTTTTATTCTTTTCCTGTATTGAAACATAGTAATGTGGGGATACAGAGACAGGATTATGTAGGACACTTGCCTTGCGTGCAGCCATGCAGCAGACCCGGGTTCTATTCTCAACACCCACTGTGGTCCCCTGGGGACCACCAGGAGTAATTCCTAAGTACAGAGGCAGGAGGAACCCCTGAGCATCACTGGGTGTCAGATGAAATAAAAACAGACACAGCAGTATTTGCCTTTGGGACACTATGGTGTGCCATTGTGAGTTTTTTGGGGGTGGGGAGGGCTACAGGTGTCGTTCCGCCCCATAACAGCGTCTTTGTCATTTCTTGGATCCTTGTCTTCATCTGAGAGGTGATTGAGTTAGTGACTACAGGAGCTCAGTTTACCCTGGCCTCAGACCTGCTTCTCCGCTGGGGTTGTTTGCTGTGCTTCCTGGGGGAGGCTTTGGGGCCTAAGATTTATTCTGTCAGTGCCCTGGTGTGTGACAACTGCTCATCTTTTCTGAGCGTACACTTTATTTGCATGGTGGTGTCGAGGGACCCATCCCAGCCGTGTTCAGGAATCACTCACTCTGGGTGGGGATGCAAGATTAAACCTGGTTGGCCATGTTCAAGGCAAGTGTCTTCCCTGTTCTGTCACTCCGTCCCATCTTGTGGTTCCTTCTTGTGTTAGGTCCTAGGTCTGGAACACAGGACACATGCAGAGCTTGTGCTCCACCACGGGTCTGCAACACCAGAACTTAATTTTTTTTGTAACTTTTTGGGTCACACCTGGCTATGCTCAGGGATTACTGCTGGCTCTGCATTAAGGAATTACTCCTGGTGGTGCTTGGGGGCCACATCGGATACCAGGAATCGAACCTGGGTCAGCCTCATGCAAGGCAAATGCCCAGTCCACTGTGCTATTGCTCCAACCTCAGCACCAGAACTTTAAAAGTGGATCCAATTTGGAATCCCTTAAGACATGTGTCATTCTTCCCTGGTTGCAATGAGAGTGAGTCTTTGTGGCTTTGGGAAGTAGTTTTGTAGGTTTTTTCTCTGCATACCTTAGCTGGAGTTCGGAGCTTCATTAGATCAACCCAGGCCAGGAAGTACCCTTAACCCCCTGCTGCCTGCGTGTGCATGTGTGCATACACAGCACACATGCACACACATACATGCACACACATGTATACTCACACACATGCACAGACTTGCATGCACATCTGCACATGCCTCTTCTTGCATCAGAGAAGACTGTGAGCGTGTGGGCTGAGACTCGAGTGCCCCCCCTCCACCCTGTTCTCAGGGAACCTTCACAAGGAGAGGAACAGGCACTCGTGATGAAGCTCTGTGTGTGGAGACGCTGGCGGCCTTCCCAAGCCGGTCCCAGGGGCCCAGTCTGTGTCACTGAAGCCCGTTTAGGGTTTTAGCTTCCTCCTCAACATGTGAACTATGACTGTCGCTTGTCTTGGTTCTCATCACTAGCCATGGCCCCGTGGACTGGGGTGACAACATCTGTGGGCCCTTGAGCCCGGCCGAGAGCAGACCCCAGCTTGGTGGCCCCCCACCATCCAGTCTGTTCTTGCTGATCAAAGCTATAGTAGCTCCCCATGACTTCTCAGATGAGAATTGCTCGAGGAGCTATAAATCATCCCGGCTAAGAAGAGGAATTTAGTTTGCAGTGGGCGTAGATAGCAGTTTTGGGGGAATCACCCAGGTTGCTCCTTAATGCCCTATAATTCAACTCCTATCTTTGTTTGGTTCATACTAGAGCTATGTCTACTTTTGTCTGATCGTTAATTTTCTTAGTTTATGATGTAATTACTTGGAAAATGTTACATTTATCAACACAGGCATCTTTTTCTTTTTAAATGACCAGACCACATGGTCATTATGGGGAAAAAAAAAGTACTGTAAATCACAGCACTTAACATGTTAAGAACAAAACACCAAAACCAACACCCTCCCCCACCGGTCCACTGGTGTTATTTTCCCAAGTTTTAAAAAAGGAACTTTTAAATAAATTATTGTCTTCTGCGTTATTGAGCATGTGGTCACTTGTCATGTTCATGCATCCAAATGATCAAAGTCTGAACTCCTGTCTAATTCCTCCCTGCTGTTAGGGTACCCAGTCATGATCAAGGCCTCAGCGGGCGGCGGCGGGAAAGGCATGCGGATCGCTTGGGATGATGAAGAGACCAGGTGAGATGCTGTCCAAAATGTACTTCAGATGAAAATTGCAGTTACCAGAGTTTCATTAAACTGACAAGTAAACAGATACCCAGGAACATAATGGAGTAATTACATTAACCATCTCATTTTATATTCTCTGAGGTGGGAAGGCATGGAAAGGACATACAAAACTTTCTTATGCATTTTGATGATGATTACAATGTATAGAAAGGTTTTTACTTCTGTCAAGCATTTACAGAGGGTTGATTTTTAGTTCTAGTCTTGCAAGTATTATTATTATTATTTTCTTAATTATGCCCATGGTTAAAAGGCCAAAGTGGCTCACAGTGGGATGCATGATTCTTGAACCTAGTCAAGAGATTTGAATCCAATATGCTTGCAAGCCGTCACTGTTTCATTTATGCATTTTCAGTGTGTGCTCCATTTCCTTTGTTTATAAAAGTAATGAACTACTTTGGTAATTTCATGTGTGAAACATAACTTCATTTTGAATTTGAACTAATGCATACTCTTTGTATGATCTCTGGTAAATTTAGAACAGTTTCTGTGGAGTAGTTTTAGAAATCAAGAGCACGGACTAGAGAGATAATATAGATAACATTTGCATGCAGCTGAACCAGGACTCAGTGATCCGTGAACACAGAGCCAGTGGAAATCCTGAGCACTCTTGCGTCTGACCCCTAGACCAAAGCAACAACAACGACAACAAAAACAACAACAAAATAGAATGTCCTTACCCCACCCCAGACCAACAGCACATAATCAGAAGTTATTATTTTTTGTTTGGGGGGCCACATCTGATTCTGCACTCAGGGATTAGTCCTGGTGGGGTTGGAACACATGGGATGCCTAGAATCAAACCTGGTTACCTCTGTGCAAGGCAAGCACACTACCCCATTGTACTCTCTCTCTGTCCCCTAAAAATTTATTATTATTTATTATTTTGATTTTTGGAACATACTTAGCAGTGCTAGGGATCCAACCTGGGTCAGCTGAATGTAAGGCAGAGGACCTATCCACTGTACTTATTGTCACTCTGGCACCTTAAAATTAATTTTTTAAACTTAAAAAGAAAAAAATAACCCAGCATACCTCAATGCCTCATCTTGGTGATCTGAAGAGAAGAAATTTTTGGAGGAAAACCCCTGAGTCTGAGTAGATTTAGGGAGCCTCTCAGATTTTGAATTGAGTGTACAGCTGGAGTTAATTTTTTTTTTTCTTTTTGGGTCATCCTGGTGATGCACAGGGATTACTCCTAGCTCATGCACTCAGTAATTACTCCTGGTGATGCTCAGGGGACCATATGGGGTGCTGGGAATCGAACCTGGATCGGCTGCATGCAAGGCAAATGCTCTACCTGCTGTGCTATTGTTCCATCCCCCGGAGTTAAATTTGTAACTGGATGGTGACTTTGGATGCCCTGGACAACAGAGCCTGAAAGGGAGTCCAGAAGCATCTTTGCAACTAGCTTATATTCTTTGAGATTCATCTATGAGTCTCTGGATCATGGCAGATGAATGAGCTTATCTAGCGCTAGAGGCGTTCATGGGTTGACTGCCAGGCTTCCCAAAGAACAGGGAGGTGCGGGGAGGTTTCCCATCCCCAGCTCTGTGAGAGGCCAGGCAGTGTATTAGATTCCAGAAATACAGCACCGGGTAGCGGCAGACAAAACGACCATATTCTCCGGGGAAGTGAAATCATGCTCCTGGGTCGCTGATCTTTGAATTTCTGGATCCTGAGGCTGGGGCTGAGGCTCAGTGGTGGAGCACAGGTCTGGCATGCTTGGGGCCCTGGGGGTGATGCTCCAATGGCCACTGGGTGTGGGCCTGTGCAGAAAGGCTCGTCTGTGAGCGCCCGGATTCACAGATACCCAGAGGAGGCTGGTGATCATGGGTTGGGACTGGGAAAAGCCCCGTCTCTCATGCCAGCCTCAGACCCAGACCATGTGCATGTTCTCGGATCCAGCCAATGACTGTGGCAGTAGTAGCCTGTGTGGGACTTGTCACCCACCCAGGGCCTTACTTCCAGCATTGTATGGCCCGCATAGATCATTTAGTAGACTTGGAGCTTATTAAGAGTAAGGAACCAAATCGTCTGCTTCAAATTGTGCTTTAAATTTTTTTTAAAAAAATTTTATTTATTTATTTTTCTTTTTGGATCACACCCGGCAATGCTCAGGGGTTACTCCTGGCTCTGCACTCAGGAATTACTCCTGTTGGTGCTCAGGGTATCCTATGGGATGCTGGGGATTGAACCTGGGTCAGCCGCATGCAAGGCAAGTGCCCTACATGCTGTGCTATCGCTCCAGCCCCCTAAAATTTTTTTTAATTAAACCATTTAAATTTTGCTTGTTTGTTTTTTGGGTCACACCCAGCATTGCTCAGGGCTTACTCCTGGCTCTGCACTCAGGAATTACTCCTGGCAGTGTTCGGGGTCCATATGGGATGCCGAGCCCAGGGTGGCCAGGTGCAAGGCAAAAAGCACTCCCTGCTGTGCTGTCACTCCAGCCATTCACATTGTGCTATTGAAAACCCTTGATTCCTGTATTCCTGTACACTTTCCCTGTGCAGTTTCTCTGTCATGCATTTATGCATAGCATCATCACTTCTTCCTGACTGTGCATTTACATCACTGCCATTTTGGCCTGTATGAAGAGGTTCCTGTGCTCCGTGGTTCTGTGGCATGAACTTTGGGTCCAGAAACTCTTTTCTGGCTGGAAGAACAGTGGCACATACCTAAGCGAGTCCCGGTCTGAAGTGGAAGGCTGAGGAGGAATGGAAGGGGTGGGAGGAACGTTCCTGTGCGTGGCCCGGTCCTGAAGCTCATCCTGTAGGGAGTCCTGGAGCCTGGAGACTTCAGGAAGGCTCCAGGAGCAGCCAGTGGGCCCTGATGGGAGAGGAGGAGCCAGAGAGGAAGAGCAAGTCCACCAGCCCAGCGAGGCTAGGAGCAGTTGGAAGGTTCTGTTTTGGAGCCGTGCCCGGGGTTGTTGGGGTCCAGGCAGTGGCAGCAGCATGGAGTTGGCGTCCCCCATAGCCGTGTCGCACCCTTTAACGCCCTCTGCTCTCTCTCTGGCCCTGTCGGAGGGTTTGGAGTAGCGAAGTCACAATCGCGGAGCTGTTACAATCTCCTAGTCATCATGCCTTTCGTTAGAGGACGCTCAGCCTGCACAGGAGGGAAAGGGGAAGGTGCTTCTCTGTCTGTCTCAGGCAGGGACCTGTTGCCGAGTTTGTGACTTAGGTTCCCAGGGGCTGCTCCGGGGGCTGGTGAGACAGAACAGGGTGAGGCAACGGTGCTGGCCTTGCATGTGGCCAGCCCAGGTGTGAGCCTTTGCATCCAGTGCTTCTTCAAGTCTGCACCCCCACCTGCACCCACACCCCTGGCATGCCCCAAGGCTCCCTTTGGCCACCTGTTGGTGATTGATGGGACACGATGCCCAGCTGGGAAGCTGCTGTCACAGGCTGTGGGGAAAACGTTGATGATGGCCCTCACCAGTGCGGGCGGAACTGTGGAGAGCGTTTCACCCTGCAAGGGGCAGGCAGGACTCACGGAGGCCTGGATCCACATGGTGGCCATGCCAGCCATGGCTCGTTGTTGCATTGTTGTTGCTCTGAGCCTCCCTGGCACTCACGTTGGTGTGTGTGAATCAGGCGTTTGTTAAGATGGCTTTAGAAATGCCGAGGGGTTAAGGCTGGGGCTAAGGTTGGGCATGGGGCCTGTGGCTTCCTAGATGCAGGCGCGTATTAACTGAATTCCATTCTCCTTGGAGGCCTCTCTCCACAGCTCGGCTGTGTTCTTTTGGATTTAGAAACTCATCTGTCTGTGGTATTTTCATATGTTTCTGTGTGAATGGTTTTTTTAGATCTGGTTGCCTTGGTGTGTGTGTGTGTGTGTGTGTGTGTGTGTGTGTGTGTACATGTGTGTGCGTGCAGGCAAATATATAGCCCCCTTGTTGCATAACATAAACATAATGCATAGTCCTATTCTTGCACAATCTATTCTCTTTTCCATTTGAATTTGTATTATTATTATTATTATTTTCATCAGGGTCACTCCCAGCAGGTGATCCAGGGTGCTCCTGTGGAAAATGGGCCGAGGCGGGCAGGCTTTTGAGGTTTCAGAGCTTGGGTCCAGAGCTCATAGTGGGATCTTGCGGTGCTGGGGATCAAACTCAGGGTCTCATACATGTCAGGCATGTGCTTTGTCCCTTTGAGCTCTGCCCTGAGCCCACACATTCCATTCTCCTGGGCTTTGTCTTTCCAAGAGGGATGTCTAGCCTTGCTGCCAGTGGACAGCTCTGCCCCCTGGAAGGGCAGCCTGGACCCAGGCAGCTTAGCTGTCCATTTCTGAAGTCACCCAGGGCCCCCCTCGCCTGGCCTCTTCACTGCCAGTGAGCTCACACTCCCAGCATCCCCCTTGCCTGGTCCCTTCACTCTCAGTGAGCTCACACTCCCAGCATCCTGGGGACTCTGAGGAGCCGCCCTCTATCACGAGGAAGCGAGGAGCTTCTTAGAGGAGCCTCCAGTGCAGAGAGGAGCACCATGAGCTGGAGCCTTTGCTTTGGAGGCGGGAGACCCGGGTTCCATCCTCGGCATGTCAACGTCTCCCAAGCATCATGCCAGGAGGAGTAGCCCCTGTGTCCTGCAGGGTGAGGTCCAAGACATAAAAATAAACCGAAAAAAGAAAAAAACCAAACTACCAGGAGTAGCAGCGGCCACTGTGGTCCCAACATAAGCAAACAACTGGAAGCATGCTTGTTCCGCTGTAATACGCTAGAGCCTTGCCGTGGAAAGTCTCCCCAAACAGTTCAGATGGTCACTCCCGGCTTTCTTTTCCTGGTCCAGATTTGAATGAAATGTTGTGCTGTGAATGGAGAAGGGGCAGTTTCAGACCCTCACCCGCCACCCTCAGGCTTTAGAGGCTGGCAGACTAGTTCCTATATATATATATATTTTTTTTAATAGCCAGCTGCTAAATATTCCTCAGCACAGAGTTTCATGATTAGCAAGTACTTACTGAGTGAATTTTGAACCAAGTGTAACGTGATGTTATTGATGCAATTTTTCAATAGCTCTAAAATACGCTAGTAATGCTTTCTACCTTGATTTTGTTTCTGGCGGGCTTGGTTTGACTGCAAAATGAAACCTCTCCGTCATTACGGCAGAGACAACCTGTAAAGTGTTCTGTTTTTCCTTTGTGAATCATTGTATCCCGTCTAATAAAAAGTTGGTCCTATGGTATTGAAAACAGTGATTCATTGTACTGTAGTTTCTTTGAGGTTTCCGTCTCCTGAGATCTGAGTCCATTCCACTAAATCAAAAACGTAATGGAAGACGAAGAAAACCGATACTTTTCCCTGAGAACTCTGAGGAAAAGGAATTTTTGCAATAAGCTTTGAAATTTATCTTCCACTCAGTGTTTATTTGCAATGTTGTATTTTTTAAGCACAGTCACAAATGAGTTATTTCTAATATTGTGATTCGTAAATGAAAGGATTGGAAGAATTTTAATGTTGTACATTAAATACAGGGGTTGAGTATGAAGATTTAGAAACTGCAGTTGCATGTGAATTAAGTTAAATGTTATTCTGAATATAATGTCTGGAGAATTATATTCTTGGTTTTGGGGAGCCGCATCTGAGTTTTTAATAGACCGATAAAACCCATTTCATAATGTATGAATTTAGTAAGTTTTATTTCATAATGGTAGGAATTTCAATTATTAAAAATTAGAAATGAAATGTAAAGAAATCATCAAATTTATTTTCAAAAATTATACATTTTCAAGGCCGGAGAGGTAGTATACCAGGTAAGCCACTTGCCTTGCATGTGACCAACCCGGGTTTGATTCCCGGCATCCCTTATGGTCTCCTGAGCACCACCAGGAGTGATTCCTGAGTGCAGAGCCAGGAGGAACCTCTGAGCATTGCTAGATGTGGCCCAAAAGCCAAATGAAAAAAAAAAAATCCAATGAAACACTTTCAGTTAATCAGGAAGTTTTAGCCGTTTTAAAGAAGTTTACTAAAGTTGCAGGGAGTGTATAGGACGCTGCATTTAACGGTGTGTTTGGAGATATCAGAAAGAGTCCTCAGACTCCTCAAGGATCATTCCTTCTCACACACTGTCTTTGTGAGTGTTCTGATCCAGTTACGGACTCGACGTAGGCACTGTGCATTTGGGGTGAGAGGTAGGGACCGTACCTGGCTCTGTGCTCAGGAGTGACCCCTGCTGCTGCTTATTTTCACAAATAAAAACCTTAAACATGTGTAGTCATGTGACTCTGCATGTGGTACTGAGAATTGAAGTGAGGTTGGCCACACGCCAGGCCTGTGCGACCTGCGTGTTATCTCTCCAGCCCCTCTGTGTGTGTGGAGCTACACTTCATAATCTAAGGGTCACGTGAATGTACATGTTTATGTTTTTTTTTCTTCTTTTTGGGTCACACCTGGTGATGCACAGGGGTTACTCCTGGCTCTGCACTCAGGAATTACTCCTGGCCGTGCTCGGAGGACCATATGGGATGCTGGGAATCGAACCTGGGTTGGCCGCGTGCAAGGCAAACGCCCTACCCGCTGTGCTATCTCTCCAGCCCCTGTTTATGTTTTTTATTTGTGAAAATAAGTTGTGTTGGGATTGAAGAAATAAACTCATGAGGTTTGTATGGCATGTTCCATTTTAACACTTTGTGAAAAGCACTGGCGTTCTCCTTCCTTTTGGGGGAGGGAAACTTTGGGCCACACCTGGCAGTGCTCAGGGCTTGCTCCTGAAGCTGTGCTCAGGAACCACTGCTGGTGGGGACCATATGCAATGCCGGGCATCAAATCATGGTTGGTGACTTGCAAGGCAAATACTCAACTCACTGTACTCTCTCTTCAGCCAGTCCTGGCATTTTTCTCTCTTGATAAAATCTAGGACCAGGGAGATGAAATAACTCTCCACAGCATCTCTAAGCAGAAGCGCTTCAGCCCAACCAAAGTGAATTTAACTGTTCTTCTATTAAGCGACTTTCTCTGTGCTTTGTTCAGAAGCAAGACATTCTTTTTGTTTGTTTTGGGGCCACACCTGGAAGTTACTCCTGGCTCTGCACTCAGGAATTACTCCTGATGGTGCTCGGGGGATCCTATGGGATGCCAGGGATTGAACCTGGGTCAGTCACATACAAGGCAAACACCCTACTTGCTGTACTGTGGCTCTAGCCCCTCCTGGGATGATATGGGATGCCAGGAATCGAACCTGGGTCGGCCGCTTGCAAGGCAGATGCCCTCTCCACTCTACTACCTTAAGAAGCAAACCACTCTCCTTTTTTCTTTTTGGGTCACACTCAGCGATACTCAGGGGTTACTCCTGCCTCTGCACTCAGGAATTACCCCTGGCGGTGCTGGGGGACCATATGGGATGCTGGGGATTGAACCCAGGTCAGCCACATGCAAGGCAAACACCCTACCTGCTGTACTATAGCTCCGGCCCAAAGTAAACCACTCTTAAGATTTATTTATGTATTTCTTTCACTTACGTGTTTTTGGGGTATATCTGGTATTGCTCAGGGGACCGAGTGGTGGAGGGGATTGAACCGGACCTCCTGCACACAGGAATGTGTTACCACCCTTTGTGCCTTGTCCCGGGCTGCACTAAACATCACTAGACAGCAGGTTTTCCTTGACACTGTGGGTTGTGTCTTTGTCCTTAGATTTTTCTGTTTTCTTTTACAGGGATGGTTTTAGATTTTCATCTCAAGAAGCTGCTTCTAGTTTTGGCGATGACCGACTGCTAATAGAAAAATTCATTGATAACCCTCGCCACATAGAAATCCAGGTAGGTCCAGCTTCATATGTTTCCTGATTGTTATGGTTTTAGGATAACATCACGTCTTCCTGGCGGTGGGAAAGATACACTGGTAAAGGGATGGGTGTTGAAACAGTGTATGTCTGAAATTCAGTCAAGAGCAAATTTGTAACTGTGTATCTCACAGGGATTCAGTTTATTATTTATTTTTAAATATTTATTTATTTATTTATTTATTTATTTGCTTTTTGGGTCATACCTGGTGATGCCCAGAGGTTATTCCTGGCTCTGCACTCAGGAATCACTCCTGGCAGTGCTCAGGGGACCATATGGGATGCTGGGAATCAAACCCAGGTTGGCCTTGTGCAAGGCAGACACACTACCCGCTGTGCTATTGCTCCAGCCCTTTTTTTTTTGGGGGGGGGGATTCAGTTTAAAAAAATTTTTTAAAGAAAAAAAAATCACCTCTTCTTATTGGAAATACTTTCTTCTGTTTTGAATGAATTGTCCAGCTATGTTTAAGATAAAATGAAATAGTGTGAAAGGAGAAATATGTATGATAGACAGGTAGTTCAGATAGACATTTTATTACATTTTTATTTATTTATCTTTGAGTTTGGGGGTCACACCCAGCAGTGCTCAGAGGTGTCTTCTGGCTCTGTATTCAGGGATCACTCCTGGTGGACTTGGGGGACCATATGGGTACTAGGGATTGAACCCTGGTTGGTCACATGCCAGGCCAATACCGTACCCACTGTACCATTGTTCTGGCCCCAGATAAGTATTTTAGTTCAGCTGCTAAAGTATGATGGGGTTCAACACCTTGGGAGAGGCAAAAGAAAGTATCGAAATCAGACAGAGGATGATGGACTTGGCTGAGATTCTCTGACAGGATTCACTCAGAGCTAATTTGACATAGCATGGCTACAAAAGTGGCACCAGTCAGTTAAAATTGCAGCAACATGTGTTTTTGAAACTGTATCTCAAGTAAGAAATAAGATTGTGTCTCCAAGGACATCTGTGTAATTGGAGTAGCACTTTTCTTCCCTTTGCACTCACAACTGGCCAGCTGACTCCGGAGAGTGGCCTTTGATCTGTCTCCGCTTCCTCGCTGCTGTCCCAGCTTCTCTGGAAAGGGGTAGGGGGGCTGTCTCAGCCCACGTAGCTGCTGACCCCTGCAGATAATGGGCCACACACTGTCTTGTCAGGGTTCAGGGATCGGGGACTCTGGGCAGCCAGGAGAGTGACCGGAAGGGCCAGGAAGTGTGTGAAGCAGTTGAATTTACCCAGCAGTCACTCACACTGGGTTGACCACTGTGTGCCACAGTCGGTGGAACCCAGCAAGCGTGACTGGAGTTAATCATGGTGTGCCACAGTTTGTGGTACTTAACACTCATGGCTGGAGTTAACTGCTGCGTGCCATAATTTTTGGTACTTAATACTCAGGACTGCAGTTAACTGCTGTGTGCCACAGTTTGTGGTACTTAGCACTCCTGGCCCAAATTAACTGCTGTGTGCCACAGTTTGTGGTACTTAGCACTTATGGCCGGAGTTAACTGCTGTGTGTGCACACCTGGCTGGAGTACTGTTGCCACATTCCGTGGTACCCCCTCACAAGTGTATCACGACCTCAGGAAATCAGGGCTCTCAGATCACCACAGCGCACATAGTGAGAATGGGAATCCAGGGAATCTTGCAAGAATCCCCAGAAGGGGCACGTGCAGGAAGTGAGCAGAGCTGTTGGGACTTTGGTCGGCTAGTGCAGCTCAGTTGAGTCGTGTGCGGCCATCAGCTCTGCCCGCTTTAGCCCAGTGCCCTGCGCAGAGCCTCTTCCCAGGTCCGAGTACACTTTAATAGCTCCTGGTGCCTCCAGATCCCCTCCCTTCTCTCTTTCGCCCTACAGGTGCTTTTTTGGAACAGTGTAATACGGTCTCCTCTTTTATTCACTGGGTTCAGCAGGCACAGAATTTTAGCTGAGCACCTTAGGGTATGGCTCAAAGTGGAACTGGGAGGCCATGGACTCGAGAGAAACACAAACTTGATTCTTAGTTCTAATCGTGGGGACTATTTCTGAGAACTCTGGCTCATTGTCTTTATTACTCGGAGGCAGAGGCTGCTGCATCCTTGCTAAGTAGAATAAAAAACCTTGAGCGCTTGTCACAGTTAAACATTTTTCTGAAGCCAGAGTGATAGTGAGTGGGGAGGGCATTTGCTTTGCCTTGCAAGCCCGCCAGGAGAGCTGGTTGCTACCTCAAAAAAATACAAACAAACAAAACGAGCACATTTTCTCCCTTAAGCTGGAGAAATTGCACAGCGGGTAGGGCTCTGGCCTTGCATGTGTCTGATTTGGGTTCGGTCCCTGGCATCCCATGTGGTCCCCTGCGTTCCTCTGGGCGTGATCCCTGAGTGAGCACCGCTGGAGGGGCCCCCAAACAAACAAAACAAAAATAATTCCCCCTACATTTGGTTTTCGTGTTGGGTACCTTTCACATAGTGCTCATGGAATCCCGGAGTCACCCAGCACCGACACAAGGGTCCAGGCCACAGTGCCAGGGATGGCTAGGACCTTCCTAGAACTGCCACACCTGGTGGTTGAGCGCTGAGCCTGAGCAAAAGCGCCTTCAGGTGCCCTGCGTGCCGCCACCCTCCCGAGGCCCAGGGAGGAAGCCCTGCTCATCGGCATTTCCTTTCTCTAAGCCTTTCTTGTCTCGAATTCTTCAAATTTTGAGGGCTCATTCCTAAGAATTAGTTTTGTGATCAAGTGAGTGAGTGAGTGTGTGTGTCTGTGTGTGATGCTACTTTGTCTGTTACAATCATGATTTCACATCCCCCCCAACCCAGCATAGTACCTGCTATTTATAACGCAGGAGAAAATACAGTGACGTACTCAGGGAGGGAGTCTGGCTGTTCAGAGCTAAAATTAGTGCCGAGTCTCTGGTTTCCAGAGCAGCGTTTATCTCCCCGAGCGTAGCGTATGTCTTTAGTAACGAACACCTACTCTTTCATCCTGCAGACAGACAAGTGCAGCCCTCCATCCCGGCCTTCCGTGCAGGGAGCTCGAAGGGTCTCTCTTAGGGTCGCCAGCTTTAGCTGCTACAATAATGCGTTAAATTTGCATTTCAGATAAACAGTGCATTTTTATGACTGCAAATGTATTCCAGACATATTTGGGACAGGTTTTTTAAATTACCCTTTCCCGTTATTTACCTAAGATTTAAATTTTACTGGGTGTTATATCACCTGGCAACCTCCACTCATTTCCCTATGCTACAAATGGAAAAATAATAATATCTATAAACTTCAGACATTTCATCACTTCCCTATAGCAAAAACAAAGCCCAGGAAGTGAACTAGCATCTTGGCTCCCCTGGGATGTAAAGAAACGGGCCTTCCTGCGCCATAGCCATGTGATTGGTTGCGGAAGTGGGAAGAGGGGGTCCCCCTTCCTCAGGCTGCTGTCGCCTCGAGCCCGTGTCTCCTCAGCACTCGGTAAGCCTTCTCAGGGGAGACACGAGGATGCTGCAGTTTGACCCACGGTGTTGGGGATGGAAACTGAGGATTTTGTCTTTGTCTTTTTGACAAAGTTTTGAATGCTTCTGTGCGGTGCTTAGGGGCTACTCCTGCCTCTGTGCTCAGAGGTTGTTCCTGTGGTGCTGGGGCTGGAATCTGGGGCCCAGTCCTTTGGGTCCTTTATCCAACGTGTCACGGTTGTCAATACGGCTTTTCTCTCTGAACGCCAGCACACAGTGGCCGCGTGTGTTGAGTGTGTGATTTTGTGAGATAATGTAAAAGTGTGTTCAAGCGAGTCCTAGTGAGTCTGGAGTGGAGCAGCCTGGGGGAAGAGGGGCGGAGGTTAGTGCATGCAAGCATGTGTGAGCATGTCTGAGCAAGTGCAAGCTTGTGAGAGCATGTGCTGGCATGTCTGAGTGAGTGCATGTGTTTGTGCATGTGCTAGCTTGTCCAAGCCTGTCAGCGTGTCTGAGCATGTGCTAGCATGCCCAAGTGAGTGTGACTATGTTTGAGCATGTGCTAGCGTGTCTGAGCAAGTGTGTTGAGCATGTATTAGTATATCTGGGTGAGAACGTGTCTGAACATCTGCTAGTGTGTCGAGTGTGAGGGTGTCCAAGCATGTGCTAGCATGCCTGAATGTGTGTTGAGCATGTGCTAGCATATCTGAGTGTGAGCATGTCCAAGCATGTGCTAGTGTGTCTGAGCAAGTGTGAGCATGTCTGAGCATGTGCTAGCATGTCTGAGCAAGTGTGAGTGTGTCCGAGCATGTGTTCCAGGCACATGGAGTGGCCGGGGGAGCGGGAGGCCTGTAGGGGCCGTGCTTCCTCTCATGGCTATGCTGTTGCCTTCCAGGTTTTAGGTGACAAACACGGAAACGCTTTGTGGCTCAATGAGAGAGAGTGTTCCATTCAGCGGAGGAATCAGAAAGTGGTGGAGGAGGCGCCCAGGTGAGCCTGGGGCAGTGAAGGTGCCAAGCTGGGCTGGCCGGTGTGGCCCCAGGACCACCAGCATCAGCTCCGGGGGCTGCTGGGGCCGGAGCAGGGGCCACGGTGTCAGGCTGCAGAGTGGGGGGTGGGGGATGGTGAGGGGCTGGCGGCTCCAGGTCCATCCTCCATCCGGGCATGGGGCTTTCTGGACCCCTGCTTTCCCGTCTCTTTGGGACAGGTCTCTGCAGAAGTCCCGGTGTTGATGGTGCCCCTTTATCAAGTGGTCTGTGGGATGTGCACCTTGGAAACCCTCGGCCTGTTGGAGCTTCTTGGGGTTCCCTCAAGCCCTCACATGCTGGGGCAGCTTCTCCCAGGCTCTCCTCACTCACTGGGTGCTCAGGTGGTATTTGTATATGTTTTTGATGTCCCCAATTTGGGATAGAGAGACAGTACAGTAGGCAGGGCACTTGTCTTGCATGTTCTTGACCTAGATTCAACCCCTGATACCCCAGAGGGCCCCCTGAGTCCCTCCAGGAGTGAGCCCTGAGCACCCCCAGGTGTGTCTCCCTCCCACCCCCAAGTTACCAATGAAGTGTCAGAAGAGGTTCAACAGGCTGAACTCACGCGTTGCATGTAGAAGGCCCGGGTTTAATCTGACTTAGCATCATCCTTTGAACACTGCCATGTGTGGTCCCAAAACTAAAAGAGTAACAACATAGAAGTCCCTGATTGAGTGTATATAGCTTTACGTATCTCCGTGCCAGGCGCAAGCCCCAGGCCTGAGTGAAGCCCGCACTGCCTTCTGCGTGCCAGTCCTGCTCTTCACTAACTGGGCACCAGGGGACATGGCTGATTGGAGCTTTAATCAGCCTGGCCCCTGTAGCTGTTGTAATGTGTCCATACTTGCTGGAATCAGTTGCTGCAGATATGAATAAATTTTTAATCACAGATGACGGTGAAGTCTCAGATCCTATTGATATTAGTTTTTTGAGAAGTAGGTGATGCTCTAGTGCTTAAAACCCCTGTAGGGGCCAGCAGAGAGTGCAGGAATATCTCTGGCTCCGAAACCCTTATTTAACATATACCATTGATTCCTTTGAGCTGGACTTGTGGTCCCAGGGGGCTGGGGAGTGGCATCTTCCTGAACACAGCATCTCGACTGTGCTGAGGTTATCAGCGTCCTGTACTTAGGAGCACTGGCTAGCCGTTACCATGCTCAGGGCGTCCTGAGCACTGGAATCACCAGCCAGAGACAAAACATGCGGCCCTAGACTCAGTCTGCAACAGGCACGGATTTAGCATGAGCTGAATCGAGAAGGCAGCTGGGGCTGGGTTGCCCAGAGCAGGGAATCTGCATGTTGGAAATCTCAGATTTTCTGTTGCTGCTGGTCACTAATGACAACATACATGCCGAGAGTGTCAGTTCGGGGGTATAATAATGACAGTTTAAGAAGTGGGCAACTTTGCAAGTATTGCCGTGAATAAAGAGAACTTCATGAGTAGTGGGTGCCAGTTTTCTATTAGTTGGCAAGGCTCACCCAGTTTGCAACTTTCAGCAAATTTAATCATTCACTCTTTGACTTAGCTCTTTATTTTGATCCTGGGGCCTAGCCAAGCAATGCTCAGGGGTGGTTCCTGCTTCTGTGTTCGGGGTTTCTCCTGGTGGTCCTGGGGTTCTACCTGGACCCCTCCCCTCCACATGCAGAATCTGCATTCCATGCCTTCGTGCCATCTCCCCGGCCAGTTTCTGTGTATATTTTATAAACCAAGATGCCAGTCTAAGGAGGAGGGTTCAGCTGCCAGTTGGACCCCACACCAGATGCTGTGTTTTAAGGTGATGCCCATTAATGCCACGAGTGTTCCATGCAGATAGAAACCTGCGTTGCTGAGTGAGACTAGCAGTCGTACCCGAGCCAACCAGTAACGTTTTTCTCCGTTGCACACAGAAGCTCACTTGATTCGGGTTTAAAAATGTTTCTGTGCTTGTAGCGTGTTTCTGGACCCTGAGACTCGAAGAGCAATGGGAGAGCAGGCGGTCGCTCTGGCCAAGGCCGTGAAGTACAGCTCTGCAGGCACCGTCGAGTTCCTCGTGGACTCCAAGAAGAACTTCTATTTCTTGGAGATGAACACGAGACTCCAGGTAATGGGAACGCCCCCCCTGCCCCCCTCCATTCCTCTCCATCCCTTTCCGCTCCTCTCTATCCCTCTCCACCCTTCTCTACCCCTCTCCGCCCCTCTTCTCCCCTCTCTGCCCCTCTCTGCCCCTCTCCGTCCCTCTCTGTTCATGTCCTTTCTGCTCCCTGTGGCCTTACTCATCCATGTATTCCTCAAAAACCACTTCCTGAACTGTGACGTAAAGATTTCCTCTTTGAATCTCAGGGGTTTTTTTTTGTTTGTTTTCGGGGGGGGGGGCAATGCTTGGCGATGCTCGGGGGTTATTCCCGGCTCTGCACTCAGGGGAGGCCATGTGTGGATCAAACGTGGGTTGGCCACATGCAAGGCAAGTGCCCTCCCCACTGTGCTATTGCTCCGACCCCCTGAATCTCAAGTTCTTTTAATGGTCCCTGACTGTGTCACTTTGTACTTTATGTTGGGAATTTTGCTCTGGCTGGTTTTCTTGAATCCTCTCGAGCTCTAGGTTTGAGGTCCCTGAAGGGAAACTGCTACAGAAGGGAGCCAGGGCTGCCCTTAGGAGTGGCTCTGTTGAATGTGAGTGTATGTGTGTGTGAGAATGTGTGTGAGTGTGTGTATGTGTGTTCATGTATTTGAGTGTATATATGAGTATATGTATGTGTATGTGTATGTGTGTGTGAGTATGTGTATGTATGAGAGTGTATGTATATGTGTGTGTGAGTATATGTGATGTGTGAGTGTGTATGTATATGTTGTGTATGTGTTAGTGTGTGAGTGTGTGAATATTTGTGAGTGTAAGTATGTGTGTATGTATGTTTGTGTACATGTATGTGAGTGAGTGTGCGTGTGTGTGTGGGGGGGCGTTGGGGATAGTGGGGAGGCTCTCCCTGGAACTTCTAACTTGCTGTTCTCAGTTCGGGTCCTGCCTTCCCTTTGCCCCTGCCAGAACTGTGACTGGCCCTACAGAGCTGCCCTGATCACGGATCGCCATGCAGCGAAGTTCACATTAGAGGCCTGGACCTCCCGTCGCTGGCCCTTCTCACCCCCAGCCACCCGCTTTCTTATAGCTCTGCTGTTGGCTGTGTGAGAGACGCCTCCTTGCTTTTCTGTGCAGTTCTTGCTTTGAATCAGGCATACCCAGGCAGCCTAGATAATTTTGTCTCATCTTTGTAACTTTTTTTTTTTTAATTTCTGGAGCCTCCTAAGTGATGTTCTGGAGGCCAGGGAGCCCTCCCGGTGATTCTCGGCCAATGTGGGGAGCTTCAGGGACCATGTAGCACCGGGGGTGGACCTGGGGTCAGTTGCATGCGTGTGCTGGGCCTGAGCCCCCGTGCTGCTCACCGTTCCCTCTCTCCAGACCCTGCAGCCAGTGGAAATGTCTTACCGCCCCTGGTTTCTCCCCGCAGACCCTAACTCCCTCTACAGTTTCTGGGACATTTGGCCTGTTTCTCCTTGCATGTGGTTTGTGTCCAGTTCTAGGGCTGCCATGACTAATGATCACAAATTGGAAAAGATTTTTTTCTCCCCCAAACCAAGAGGAAAAGATTCTGTCCTGTGTGAGAAGAGCACTCTGAAATCAGGGTATCGGCTTGTGCTCGTCTTTGACTGTCTGCTTCTCTCCTGAGCACTGTTTGGCAGGCTCCTACTGCCTCACTGAAAACCCTGAAGTGAAAAAAGCAGAAGAAAAACTAAAAGGAGAGCTCTCCTGTAACCCTGCAATTTCACTGCTCAGACTGTACCCCAGTTACACCCGAACATTAACTCAGAAAGATCTGATGTTCATGGCATCTTAGCCAGGATAGGCTGAAACGTCCCTCGGCAGGGGAAGGAAGAAAGGCATTCATTGGGTCTCTGTGTGACTGGAACGTCATACAGCTGTAAGGAAAGATGGAACCTTGCAACTTGCTGCAACTTGCTAGAGCTGGAGGGTGCTGCGTTAAGTGGAATAAGTCAGAGGCGAAGGACAGACAGCTGGGGTCTCACTCATCTGTGGGACATGCAGTGATAGGGAAAGGGAATGGGCAGTACTGATGGGCTCGCCAGACCCTTGGCTTTTGGGCACAAAATGCTCAACTAAATGGGGGAGGGAGGAAAGGAAGAGGTGGGCTAGAAGTGACATAAGACAGTGTCGAGAGTCTCGGCCACAGGGATGGTGGGAAAGGTGTCACACAGCAGGATCATTCAAGTTATCACTACTGTAACCTTGTTTCCTAAAATATTATATGTATAGATGTCAAAGGTTTTTTTGTGTGTGTGTGTGATTTCCTGAGCACAGAGCCAGAAGTAAGCCCTGAGCACTGTTGGCTGTGGCCTAAATCCCCCGCCCCCCCAAAGAGAAAGGTTAATATCTATTCGTAGAATTTGCACAGGTGCTAACTCAGTAGTTATTCAAAACTTATGATACACCCACTTAAAATCACCTTTTTTTGTCTGCATTCTATTGTTCTGAGCATCTTTAGAAGCCATAGTTTGTATTTGGGAGATTAATTTGATTTGGATTAAGAATCTTTGCAACTAAGTGTGACTAATTTGATAATTAGCTGGGAAATCATGTTCTCGATTAAAATGAAGACTTCGTTATGTCACGAACTGAGTAATAGCTTGTAATATGATTCTGAAGGCAATTTGAGGCGGTAAAAAAAATTGTATTTATGCCAGACCCAAGAGATTCCAGATCGTTTTGCTGGGATATTTATCAGAATGTGGAAAATTAACAAATAGCACTTTAAGGGTGCTTTATTTCTGTTTTGTTTTATTATTTATTTTTGGCTCATTTATTCCAACTCAGAGCTTTTCTATGGTTTTCCCATGGTGGTTTTTGGTGTGTAATCTCCAAAAGTTGATCACAAAATCACAAATCACAAATCATCCTGTTAGTCGTCGATTGCCTCGAGCAGGCCCCAGTAACGTCTCCTTCATCCTAGCCCTGAGATTATATTCAAGGCTCTTTAGGAGAATGAGACCCATCATTGTTACTGGTATTTGGCATATTGGGTACGCCACAGGGAGTTTGCCAGACTCTGCCATGTGGGCAGGCTACATTCGGTAGCCTGCCAGTTTGTCCAAAGTAGGAATGAGATAATAAGATGTAATAATAAAATGTCGCGCCGCTGCAAATGCGGCCGCGCGGTTCAGACATCTGATTTTTATAGTCTCTGAGTCTTGGCCACTGATGGGATTACACGGCACCAGGGGCCCAGTTGGTGGGTGTGACCCCCGCCTACTGGAATTTGGAGGATCTGGGTGGAGGATGCTCGGCCCAAATCCGGGTAGGCTTGGAGATCATGGCTCCGGAACCCGCGTGACTTTGTCCCTCTGCCAGTACCTTCATGTGTGCTCAGAGTGGTCTCAGCATGCTGGTGGCTGGTCCTGGAGGTCTTTGGCTGCTGGAGCCCTGGTCGGGGCGGGGAGGAAAGCTCAACCCGCTCCCCTCGAAGGGGTCCCGGCGAGCGAGGACAGTCAGGCGCGGGGGCAGAAGACTGCACTCTTCTCTTCCGAGATCTGGTTTTTATAGTCTCTGAGTCTTGGCCGCTGATGGGATTACACAGCGCCAGCGGGCCAGTTGGTGGGTGTGACCCCCACCTACTGGAATTTGGAGGATCTGGGTGGAGGATGCTCGGCCCAAATCCGGGTAGGCTTGGAGATCATGGCCCCGGAACCCGCTCCAGCAGCCCTGGTCGGGGCAGGGAGGAAAGCTCAACCCGCTCCCCTCCAAGGGGTCCCGGCGAGCGAGGACAGTCAGGCGTGGGGGGCAGAAGACTGCACTCTTCTCTTCCGAGATCTAGTTGATATTCATACAAAAAACTTCAGTGCAGTCACATAGGTATCTGTGCTTGCATTTTGGGGAGGGGGACCCATCTCTGATGATCCTCAAGGCTTGTTTCTGGCTCTGCTCAGGGGTTACTCCTTGCTGCATTGGCATCGGGAGACCAAACCCTGACTGACCCTGCAAGGCGAGTATCTTACCCTTCCCTCCCCCCTGTAGTATGTCCCGAGCCCCAAAAAGTATTTGTTCTGAAGTCTTCTTTGTTTTTGTTTTTGTTTTGTGGCCACACCCAGCAGTGCTCAGGGGTTGCTCCTGGTTCTGCACTCAGGAATCACTCCCGGCAGACTCAGGGGTCTGACCATATGGGATGCTGGGATTGAAATTTGCGTCGGTCGTGTGCAAGGCAAGCATCCTACCTGCTGCACCCTCAGTCCAGCCCCTGTGCTTGCATTTGAAAAATTTTTTTGGCTTTTTGGGTCACACCTGGTGATGCTCAGGGGTTAGTCCTGGCTCTGCCCTGAGGAATTGCTCCTGCTGGTGCTTGGGGGACCGTATGGGATGCCAGGGATTGAACCCAGGTCGGCCACATGCAAGACAAACTCCCCTACCTGCTGTACTATCACTCTGGCCCCCTGTGCTTGCATTAAAAAAAAACTTGGATAACTTCCCCCCCAAAATGATATATTGACCCTCTAAAAGAGATTATAAATGAATTTCAGGAAAAAAATCCAAAGTCATAAAGAATTTCATTCAGGGGCTGAGCAGATGGCTCCAAGGACTGGAGCACATGCGCTTTGCATGGAGGAGCCCCGGAATCTGCCCCTGGCCCCCACCATCCTGCCAGCACTTTGGGACGTGACACCCCCCCCCTCCTCCCAAGCACTCCTGGGTTTCAACTCCACAACTGCAAGCTGGATCCCTAAACAGCATTTTGTTGTGTGAGCTCTGACTTCCCAGTTCTCTGTGGATTCCTCTGGACTCAGACGTTGTGTTTCCCTCTTAAGGGTCAGTGCTTCCCTTTCCCTTCTCACTGACCTGCCACCACCACATAGCTCTGTTTTGAACCTCCGTGATGAGGAGTTGGAACAGAGTCTTGGAAAGTTCCCTCTGCATGTTCCAGAAACTTCTGAGATCACATAGACAAGTCAGGGTTTCTTTTAATAGTAGACTTTCTCGCATTCAAATTTCTTTACTAACCTTAAATTATCACACTTAAGGCACATTCACGAACTTCTTTCTCT